GGGAGAGTCTAATCCTCCTTCTCCCAGCAGTGATAGTTACCTAGAGTTCCTTGTCTAAAGGTGGGACCCTGCGAATTTTCCCCCTTTCCTCCTTAACCTAGCCAGTGATATTTCCATTGTTCTGGTCTTGTCTAGGCAGCCATTTCTAGGGAAGACCATGTCACAGCAGACTTCCTGGAATTCTGGCTCTTACCATCTTTCAGCTCCTCTTCCGGATCGTTTCCTGAGCCATAGACACAGGAACTGTAATGTATATGTATTATTCATTGGGGCTGCGATCCTCACAATCTGCTGATCTCTGCACGTGTCCAGCGGTGGTTTTTGTTATGGTTGCCATTTTCTGTGAAAAGTGGCTTCTTTGATGAGGGACGATAGCTACACTTCTCTGTGGGTAAGATTTAGAATGGAGTAGGGAATTGTGCTGGTCTGGAGAAGCAGGGGTAGTAGATTTTCTTCTAAGGTCCCTGACCTCGCCAAGACGCTGGCTAGGTATAATTTTTTCGAAAGGAGGTTGAATGGAGACACCATGCATGGATGACGAATAATGCTACTCCCAGAAGCCAGGCATGGGTTATTAAACAAAAGTCCAGAGCCATGCTCAGGATACCTCCCGAGGAGTTGTTGGTCGTAGAGATCACAGAGGTCTCCAAGAAGTACAAACTATGGCCATTGCTCTTGGCTGCCCCCTAGAACCCACTTACTTGTGGGTCTGTGAGGGTCCTACTTGTCTATGAGGACACCACATACTTCGATTGCAGGACATCAAGCTGGAACTGACCTGGAAATGTCCTTCTTACTGGCTGCTTTCCTAGGGTCAGAAGGTGTTATGCAGGCCACTGGCAAAGTCATCAATCATCTTCCATAGTTAGATCCTGGATGCGACAATACTAACCCACCAGGCAAGACATGACTGTTGGGGCGACGGTGGGATGAAGATTATGGGAGTTTGTAACCAACCACTTTCAGCTCGAGGTCCACTTTATGGGAGGGAGAATTAAGGCATGGTTCTGTAAACCTCCCCAAGAGCCCATAGCCCGAGAGATCCTTTAATCCCAGCACTTGGGAGGCAGGTGGATCTCTATGAGTTTGAGGCCAACCTGGTCTACAAGGTGAGTTCCAGGACTTCCAGAGCTCTTACACAGAGAAACCCTGTCTTGGGAAAAAAAAAAAAAAAAAAGAATCAGTGGGTTATTTTTTTTTTTTTAAGAAGACATGAAAAGAGAGGAGGGTATGTTGTAAAGAGGGACTACAGACAGGGTAGGAGGGGTAGAGAAGGAAATGGGGTGTACGCGAATATGTCCAAACACATTATAGACATGAATGAAGTTGTCAAAGGATACATTTTTTTTTTTTTTTTTGCTTGTTGGTTAGTTTTTCGAGACAGCATTTCTCTGTGGCTTTGGAGCCTGTCCTGGAACTAGCTCTTATAGACCAGGCTGGCCTCGAATTCACAGAGATCCGCCTGCCTCTACCTCCTGAGTGCTGGGATTAAAGGCATGCGCCACCACCGCCCAGCCAAAGGATACATATTTTTAAAAAGAGCTTCCTTTTTCAGAAAGACTCCACAACTGAGCATGTTAATATATATGAGCATGGACAAAATTCTTTAAAAGGTGTGCAAGCTTTGACGGCGCTTTCCTGTGGGTAGTGAGTCTGAGAAGTGGAATGCGATGAGGCTGTCTCATTCCTTCCCTCACCTAATTGTTAAAATGCTTTTTATGTAAACATTCAGGAATTTTCCCACCTTGTGCATGTGTGTGTGGTATATGTATGTGTGGGGGGAGGAATGCTCAGCTCACCTGTGTGTGTGCATGTGTGTGTGGTATATGTATGTGGGGGGAGGGATGCACACCTCTATTGCTCCCTGACTTACATTTTTGAGACAGGTCCTCACTGAACCCTGAGCTATTTTTTTTAGACCGGCTGCCAGCAAAACCCTCAAAAACAGACCCTCAGATCTATCTGTCTCTGCCCCTCAGCACTAGAATTACAAGCACACGCCAGCATACCCAATGTTTTTAGTTTAATATTGACTAACTTCATGAGGATAAGATACACAGATGCCATGGTGCACGTGTGGACTCAGCCTGACTTATGGGAATTGGTTCTTTTCTTCCATCACGTGGGTACCAGGCATCAGGGTGTCAAAGTCGGATCATCAGGATTGGCCACAGATGCTCTTATCTGACAAGCCACAGATGCTCTTATCTGACAAGCCATTTTGCCAGCTTTTTTAACTCCTTAAAAAGATTTTTAATATTTTTTATTCACTACGTGTGTATGTGTGTGTGTGATATGTGTATATGGGTGTATGTGGTGGTCAGAAGACAACTTTGTGGAATTGGCTTTCTTCATTCACTTTTATGTGGGCCCTGAGTACCAAACTAGGGTCTACAGGCGTACCTGGTAAATACCTTACCACGCTAAGCCTTCTTGCTTGCCCATGATCAAACAAGAATAATCCCTCCACAGTCTCCGCCTCCTCACCTTCCCATCTAATCATGCAAGATTTGACTCCTGAGGTTACACAGTGCTACAACGAATGTTCTCGTTCATTTCTGCTGCAGTACTTTTAACTTACTTCCAACTTCAGCTAAACAATTTGCAAGATCTCTAGATGCAACAGCAAAGGGTTATTTAAGAGAGGATTTAAGAATTTTTGATATAATGCCAGGTGTTGATAGTGCACGCCTTTAATCTCAGCACTCAGGAAGCAGAGGCAGGTGGATGTCTGTGAGTCCACGGCTAGTCTGATAAACAGAGAAACCCTGCCTTGGAAAAAAAAAAAAAAGTAATGTTGTGTCTGTAAGTAAGGCTGGACTGATGAGTTGTGTCTAATAGTAAAAACAAGGTCCATTCAAGGCCCAAACAAGCCTGGAGCACAGTCCAATGGCAGTGGAAGCTGACCTAGTGTTTCTACTCCAGGAAGGAGGCAATACAACTCTGTCATCTGTGAGTGAAGGAACAGGTACACAAACCCAGTCATCAGCAGACTTTGGAAGTGGAGCTGGACCACTGATCATGAATAACTGCTATTTTCTAAATGTGATTTGCAGACTCACCGCCTTTAAGAGCCAGCGCCGAAGTTTGCACTTTACGCAATGACTCACACATCAGTGACCGACGTGTGAACCAGGCTGTTGACCAGTGTTTACCTAAACCACAGCAACTGGAGTCCACCATCAGCCAAACAAAGCAAAGGCTGCTTATGCTGAAGAGAGAGGTTATACTATGTGTGACCACTCTCCTCACTGAGCCCAGAACTCAGGGCAGTTGGACTTTCACCCTTCTGAGTTTTCCTTTGGGGTCCCCAATAGCTCAACTATAATCCCCCTACATCTGCTTTCTTCGACCTCATCAGAGCTGAAGAATGTTCATGGCAACATCTCTGGTCCGTAGCATCTACTAACTTTAACAGTCAATCATGTCTATAATACTTTCACGTGTGGAGACGGGAAGACAATCACCCCAGCTGAGAACCACTGGGGCTGACAACCAGATTTCTCCCAATACAACTGGCCAAAAAAGAAAAGGGGTAACTTTTAATGTTTATGTAGCAGTAAACACCAAAACAAACAAGACAACTTAGAAGTAGTTTCCTCAGGAAAGGCAAATGGAAGCAATGGACCTGTCTTTTACTAAAAATCTTACCACTGACTCTTAATGTACATATGACTTTAATTTTTAAGAAAAGGCAACATCTATCTCCCAAAATAGGCCAGGGTTCTTACTAGCACATGTCCCTACCTACGGTAGCCATTAATAGAGAAGAAAATGCAAACTCCTGCCACCTCCCATCTCTAGGGACTCCTTCTCCTACTTGGTCTGAGTCCATCTTCTATGCTAGAAGGAAGGTTGGGGATGGCACTGTGCTTTGTGCTCACAATGTGGAAGGCCTTGGGCTTTCGTGCCATTGAATGACCAAGTATACAAGGCAGGCCTAGCTCTCAGCATGCCCTTCTGACTCTCGGGTCCACCTAAAAATAGTTTGAAGGGGGGAAAAAAAAAGTTGTTTTCCTTTTTTTCTTTATGAATGCCAGGTTAGTTAATCTTAATTATTTTTAATTGTGTAGGGAGGCCAGAGGCTTCGGATTCTCTAGAGAGGGCAGATGAAAGGAAGGGAGGGAGGGAGAGGAGAAAAAAATATATATATTATATATAAACTTGGAATGAAACAAAAAGCGGGAGATAGCACTCCCGGGAATCTTACGAGGGAATGGGGCAGTCTTCCCATTGTTCTCCATCACACTGCCAGCCTCGAGCTAAGGTCCACTCTCTGCCGAAACTCGCCAAGCACTGAAGTGTTCCAAACTAAGAAAAAACCTGCCACAACGTTCACGGGGACTAAGTATCAACAGCTCAGTGCCTGATGGCAAGGGGGAACATATTTACTGAGAATTCTCCAGGGAAACTGACAATATAGAAAGGCAGATAGCTCTTGAGCATAGCCTTCTCCTGGCTTGGTCATGGATTTTATTAAAATATTCTATAAAACTAAATGTCCAGCAATTTTCAGAATTGACCCCATCAACTTAGTTTACAAAGAAATACATTTTTCATTAATTGTTCTGATGAAGAGCAAAACCCACCATAGCAAGGCTGAAGAACCCCAAACTTTTTTCTCTGCAGTGCCCAAGATTAAACCTGGGGCCTGTGTGTGGCAGGCGAGTACTCTACCTGGGTTCTATCTTCAGGCCTACAAGCAAGAATTCTTAGGTGAATCACATACAACTTCACTTCAGCTTCTCTGTCACCGCAAAGCTAGAGACAATCTATGTGCAGACCTGCCTGAGGTCTGGGCCGCACAACTGCCACACACCAAACTGCCACATGGAGCAACATCACTCAGGGGATCACAGAAAATGAAGAGCAAGGAGCTTGAACTTGGATAGCACCCTCATTTCGGGGAAGTGCACTCACCCTCCTAAGAAGGTCATAATGTTGAATGATCAGGACTCTGAAGACTCAATTGAAACAAAAACCACAAGAACAAATTTTCTAAAAACTGTAGGCTTTTTATTCAGTTAGAGGTAGACAGATGAACATGGAAGGCTGTCCCATTGAATTTGCCCAGAGTTCATATCCCACTTCATTCACCCATCCCACACTGCCAAAAATCTCAAAAGGAAGAATCACAACTGCCAGGAGGCTTTGTCTTCATACTTCTTAGCAACATGTCCATGAGTTGCTTGCAAAGAAGTTCCTATAAACTTTTATTTTCACTGTGCCAAAGTTTCTTGGCCCTCTAATAAGTTCCCTCATATGTCAACAGAACCTGCTACGACCGACAGGGGGCAGAGTGCCGTGACTATTTCTATGAGAGACTACGAGGGAAGCTTCAGTTACATGTTTGTTAAGTCCCTGTGCATGTTGGGGAAGAAGCTGGTGAGGCCAACAAAGCAGAATACGTGCCATTAAATGGCTCTGCCTGGCTGTTTAAAAAGAACCCACATAAATTATCTTACAGACAACATTAAAATATAATGGAATTGATGCCTGATACAAAAAGTAGAGAAATATGTACAGGAATTCATAGCCCAGAAGAAAAGGGACCTTAGAATGAACTGATGGAAACCCGGCTATTTTACATAGCTAATTTTGAGACAAGTCATATTTAGCACAAAAGCAATTATAGTGTAAATTACACTTTCCTCCCATGGCTCCTAAACTTTATAACCCTTGTCTGTCTTCGGCAACACTGTGAGCATTCTTCTAGGAACAGGAATGTGTGTGGTGGTCCCAGATGCTGACACAAATTTTGATCCCAGCTTCACACTTACAGAATCATGTATTTGAATATTGCCATGATAGCAGCACTGATAACCCCAGAAATGGGGACAGTGACAAACCAGGCCATAAAAATGTTGCGAAACAGTCTCCAGTCGACAGCCTTCTTGGATCGGAGCCAGCCAACAGACACAACAGAGCCCACCTGGGAGACACATAGACCAGACAAGTTATCTAACTAGCCACGGGAAGACAAAGGCAATATAGATATTCAACTATCAAATCTGTGCTAAATGTCCTAAAACACAAGACTCCTTTTCTCTGCCCTTTGTAAATTAAAGTTCTGACTTCCTAACGATTGTTCTGGAGAGTGGCTGGTGTGTGACACAACGAACACCCTAGCAGAAAGAGCGCCGTGCAGCCCCAGGCTGGACCAGCTTCAGTCCTTTTAACAAAGACAGTTTCTCTTCACCATATAATTATGTTGTGGTCACCAAAAAACTTCTTGAAAGTTCAATTAGTTTCTTAGTACTACAGGCCTGAGAGGCTCTAGATATATGCTTTTACCAGAAGACTGCCCTTACGACAAGTCTCACAAACTTGTTAAACCAGCATATTTACTACCCCAAGAGACAGGAACCTACCCAGACTAGATGACCAGCTTCTTAGCACACTCTCACACTACAGACTGGCTTCCGGATGGAAGAAAAACACAGAGGAGCGAAGTAAAAAGGAAGCTCAACACACAAACTAATTGGTCAGGAATCACAGTTAGCTCCACCGAGAGAACAGAAATAGCAAGCAGACAAACTGCAGAACGTCAGCTTTTATCCACAAGGCCCTGTCTAAGCTTGTCAATTAAGACTTCAACTGTACAAAACTTTCTAAATCAAAGAAAAGAAGTAAAGCCATGCATATGAACGGAGCTAGGACAATGAAGGGTTCATTCCATTCCACTTACTTTACAGTGTGTTGTGCTGATGGGAAGGCCGATGTTTGATGCGATGACCACAGTGAGGGCAGATGCCAGTTCAATACTGAAGCCACTGTTGACACAAAAAGATGCTTGTCAACATTTTAGGTTTTCTGAAAAGCCAACACTACCAAGTAATCTAATCTACACAGCAACATAACCTGACATTTCTCCTCTAACCTTTGAAACCTACTTAAAGAGGACCAACGCTCTAGCACCTGAGGATTAAGTACTTCTGGAATTTCATTATTTAAAAAGCTGGGACATGCCAAGCACTACATCTCTGGGGACAGCAGCGACTGCGGTACACTCCACAGCACTGCACCGACTGTGATACACTGCACTGAACGCATCTCTCGAGAAGCTCAAGCTCAGTGCTGAGGCAGGCTCCACCTACTCACCTGGAGGGTGTGATTGGTGTCAGGTCCTTCCCCATCGTCTGGATAACTCTTCTTCCCCAGACCCACAGCCCTGTGCAGATGCCAACACCACCATAAAGCAGAAGCCAGATCGGTGTTGCCACTTTCGTAGATACATCATTTGTTTCATAAACAAGGTACAAGGCAACCAGAGGACCGATGGCATTGCTAGAAAAAAAAGGAGAACAGTGGTGACTTTCTAGAAAGAACTACTTCTTGTCAAGACCCAATCTCTTAATAACTGATAGACTGAACTGTCTAGACCCAGCTTTTCAGCTCATTTAGCAAGTGACCCTATAGAGCCCAACACACGACAAGACAATCACGACTGCGGTGACAGAAGGGTATAGGCAACTGGTCTCTCCTCTACGCACGTAAAGCAAGCCTCCAGAACCCAGTGAGGGTCACAGGCCACAGAAACAAGGCTTGACGACCTTAAGTCCACTCTTCGGGGCAGCCAGTAATTTTAAGTTTTTCATCATTGATGTCTTAATTTACCAAAGACTCAGTTCCCACCCAGAGAGACATTTATCTTGAACAGATATAAAGCTAAAAACATTCTTATAATCTGAATGAGCTTCCCTTTTGCTTTATTAACCACCACCTCATCCTGTCTAGACTGTTCAGTGTCCCCCAGGAGGCAGAGCATAGGAGGTGAGCAGACTGTAAAAAGAGTAAGCAACGCTGAGTCACGTGGACTGACCTGACGTCATTACCACCATGGGCAAATGACCCAAAGCAGGCTGTAAGAATCTGCAGAAACTGGAAGAGGAGGGAGACTTCAGGCTTATCCTGGTCATACCACTCTTCAAGAGAGCCACTACTCCCTTTTCTGTCACCCAGACCCATCTCAGCCTTAACATTCATGTCCATCTCAGATTCAGAGTGAAGGTCAGACACAGCATTGCAGTAACTGGTGTAACTGTCCATTCGAATCCGCTTCTTGGTATCTGCATTAGGCCATGTCAACGTCTCTGTTTCTTCCCCCTTCTGTTCACCTTCTTTGGCACGGAAGGAATCCAGGGGCATGCCACATATTGCCATGGTGTAGGAAGTGTAGCTGTTATTGCGCCTCAAGGGCTTGTCTCCAGAGTCCCCCATGCAGTCTCCCACCTTGGCCAGATGTAACTTATGGAGCAGCTCTTTGTACAAGCCAGAATCTTTGTGCACGGTGTGATACTGATAGTGGCCACTGGAGTTGATCTGGTTGCTGACAGTTTGGCTGAACTGAACAAGGTTCCCATTAGGCAACTGCACTGCACCTAGCCAAGAGCAAAAATGGAACATTCAACGCAAAGTGCATCAGTCCAGAATAGCAGCCTCTCCACAACCACGACATCAGGAAACTCCGGGGAGTTAACTCACCATTGATGGTACCATCTATGCTGGTCTCCTCCTTCAAGTCCATGGGAAGCCGCTCTCGCTCTGGAGCTTCCTCCAGGTCCCCAAGTTTGAATGACACTGTTCTCTCCTCCACTACAGCCCGAAGAGGCCCAGTGGCACATGGCACCTCAGACACGGGATTCCCGTTCTCAACATCGCCAAGTGACATCTTTGTTTCTTCATGGTCTTCTTTCAAGTTGTTCTTCTTTTCCATTAAGGGACTTTCAGAGGGACTAGACTTTATTTCTCCTAGGAAATAAAGGTGATTTTTGGTTTGACTATACTACTTTGTTCCACATCCTTTTCTATCCACCCCTGAAACTCATCTCAAAATAATAGGTAAGTAAATTCTAGTTAAAAAATTTAAGCTAACATTCCTACCCTCTTTATTATGTCAGGAATTCACCTTTCCCTTGGGAGCAAGCCAGCCACGTACCACACCCTCTACTGGGGGGAAAGGATGACAAGCTACTGTAAATGGCCAGAGAGTAAATATTTTAGGGTTCTGGTTCATTTCTTGGTTTTTACTTTTATAATTTACAAGCGTAAAACCCTTCTTAGCGCTCAGTTATAAAAGGGAGTTGAAGGCAGTTGACTAGCTGGGCTAGACTGCCCCTAAGGACTCTCCTAACGTCAGGTCACGAGTGCAGACAGCGAAGCTGTAATAGTCATGCCTAAACAGTTCCGCACCCGGCAGCCAGGCAGTGCTTCTATCAGGCACCTTCACCAACTGGCTCAGGCATCTCACACAAATACAACATTACAGTAAGATTTGTCTCTCCTCCCAGACTGAGAAAAAAAATGAGGTCAGAGTCCTGAAAGCCTCATCCCCACTGTGCATGCGGCACAGCAGACAAGCACAGCTCTGGGCAGCTCCTCAGTTCAGCTGCAATGACGCAGCATTCTAACAACACTGCAGTCTACGCATCCCGCACTGCTGGGAATCGGCAAACTAACTTTCCGTACACTGAAAGGACAGAATCGGGTTCTTCTAAGTTATCTTAGCAACTAAGAAAACAAAGACTAGTTAGGGCTAGTACCAATAAAAACTTCCTCAGTATTTAAATGAAACCACAAAAACAGTTCTGTAATAACCTAAAACTGTTTACTTCTACATGTTATAGCTCTAGCACGAGGACTATGTGTATGGCTGTGCATCTGCGTTGTGCAGTGGATATTGCCACACACACAACACATACATCTAAGCTGAGTATACAGAGACAGCTGAGGCAAATGCTTTCTCTATCAAAACTACTGTGTACCTACCCTTAGTCACATATTCTTAATGGCTAGGTCTCAGGCCACTTTTAGTCCATTAAACCCCTATGTTGTCAGTCTGCTCAAATAGTGTACTCTTATAGGTGAGAGAGGAAGGTAGAGGAGGGGGAAGGGAAAGGTAGGGTGGAGGGAGAACACTACTAAACTGTATTACTTACGTTCGATTTTTCTCTTCATCCTGGGACATACAAAGAACCAGACGAAAAGGGCACTGAAAACTGCACATCCCACCGAGATGAGGATGGTACCCCACAGAGGAAGTTTGTCAAAGCCCAGCACTACGAGATAAAATGGTGCATCTTGAAAACCCCAGGGCAACAGCCCCCTGCAACAACGTGTAAACCCTCCTGAGGGGAAGGAGGGCTTCCTCAAGTTAGCCCATCACCCTTGACAGCTGCTGCCATTCCAGAGTCTCATGAGGTTAGTGGCTATACAGACATGGAGAAAACCCAAATGACCAGCTTATACCCACAGCAACCAGGCCCACTGAACACTTGAAGCGTGTGCTGTGCTTCTTCATGGTCTTGGCGCCACAGATGTAAGAGGCTCTACAACCTGAAGCTATAAAACCAATCAAGTATCCCTTTCTCCACCCAGCTTCTCACTCTCACTGCCACATACTACACTTACACATGACTTATTTAACACTTAAGGTGTGCTGACACAACTATGGGAAGTTATCACGGTCACTGGAGCAGGCAGCCTTCAGAGAAACTGCAAAAGTATCATCAAGCTAACAGAAGACAGGGCTGTTGGCTGTAGGAAGATGGCCTCTAAATAGGAGGTAGTTTACTAACAAGTCACTGAGAGGCTTGTTCTCCAATATTTTCCCCTTGGATCTGAGGATCAGCAGAGCTGGTTAGAATCAGCTTACCACTGGTATACAGGCACCGGGGGCTGCTGGTCTGCACTAAAGTCAGGACCACTTCACATTACTGAAACCCGGGGCACCACTGCCTGCTTATCCTTCCCGCAGCAGCTGAGTACCTACACTTGGTTCACTTGATTCTGCTTACTGCATATTGAGTTACTTATAAAATGGAAACATTATTGTTCCATAAAAACCTTTTAAGCCAGGGTTGTAGCTCAGCCTAGCTTGCCTAAGGCCCTAGAGCCAATCCCCAGCACTGTAAGAGACAAAATACTAAACTAGCCTTTAAGAATTGGACATAAACTGAGATCTTTCAGAACAGAAGTTCTGTGGTGACTACCAGTCTTTAAGTTCTGCTTTCAATTGTGATCATGCAGTTAGTCACACAAAGTAAAATACAAATGAGGTTTCATCAGTCTCCATCACAATTTAAATGTGCCCCCTTTCCAAGCCAAAGGGAATAAAAGGATTGGTTTTCCTTATACATGATCCATAAAGGACAAAACAAAAGTAGCAAAGCTCTTGCATCAAAGCCAATCCTGTCATAAAATATTGACATTTCAAGAACAAAAATGTTAGAACTATTCTGCTAGCTGTTTGTTTTGCTGAGTGACTTACTACATAATTTCAGTAGCAATAATAAACAGGTCCCAAGTATTAAAATCCTTTAAGAAGTGAAGATGTGAGCGTGTATTACATAAGTAAAATCCCTATGCTACCTTTCTATTTACACATACGGACACGGGGGTGCCTTGGGCAGCAATCTTTCTTCTTCCCACAGATTAGTTAGAAGAGTAAGTGTAGTAACTGTCTAGGTTCTTATGCAATAAAGAACCAGCACGCCAGATGAGCCTGGATACAGAACTGTACTGCTCTGACTCATCAGGTCCAAGCTATCAACTTCTCAGCTGCCATAAGTGGATTCTTTCCTTCCCTTAGTCCCACTAGGAAAGCAAACAACACCTGAACTTTATATCCTCTCAAATGCTTCCCTTTAGCTGCAGAAATTCTTCTTCCAAGTGTAATTAGACCACCAGGTATTCAACTCTTCTCATTCAAGTAAATTCAAACTGATAAATTAGGAACTGAAATTGTTCCAGTTGGGAGAGAAAAATGACACCCAATGACCAGTCCTAAATGACAGGTTATTGAAGAACAGGTTAACTAATGACTCTTCAGTAGTTGAGGCCAGTATCAATTCCAGCATTTTTGGCATAGATACGACAAAGGGAGGGGAGAAGGTCATATTATCAGTGGATCCTGTGAAGACTAAAGAGGAAAGGTCTGTAGTGATTTAGAATCTGAGCAGGTCTCTTTGGTTGAAAACTATCTAGGTTAACTCAGCATACACTAGCCTGCAGCCTTCTGAAATGGGCGCAGGCCAGCCACCTTCTAGGAGATTTCAGCCCTGTAAAGCAAAAAGGGGTAAATTGGGCATTTAATGCAAGTTTTGTAAATAACCTTAAATTCACATGTAAATGTCTTGATTTGTACTTACACGGTGCTCCAGTATACATAATGGAAAAGAGGTTTATTCCAATTGTGCAGGCATAAAAAACCGGTAAAGCACGTAAGCCATTAGGAACTGGATCTGCCTGTAAAACATTAAGATCAGTATCTTAAAAGTTGTAAATGTAGATCCATTTCCATAGCACACTGTGGCAAGGCATGCTGTGGAATCATGGTGCTAACAGCCTCCTACCTAATTTCTACAAAGGCAACTGAGCTTTCTCCTGCATTTGTTCCCTAAAAGAAAGTGAATGTCACCTTCTATCCATAGGTAACATTTTCTTCCTATTCTTAATAACAAGGATGAGATTGATATGCCAAATAATCACTTCCTTTGAATTATCCAAAGTCCATCTGTAAACCTGAACACGGGACCCAGGCTGTACTGTACTGAAGAGATAAACAGAACAAGTTAAAATACTCATTTCCTGATGTTCTGCCTCCAAAATTAAAAATAAATGTGCAGGCTATATACAACCATCTTATACATACACAGACACACACACATATGTATGTATATATATGTATGTATGTATGTGTATACATACAGATATATATTTCAGTGTGACATAAGGCTTTATTAAAGTGCAAAGCTAAATCAGCTATAAACATAGTCATCCATTTAGTCAAGTGACTGTCAAGAAAGACTGTTTAGGGCCCTGAAGTAGAGGAGGGACCAGACCATGTCCCCATTTTCACATAACTGAGTGTCATATTTTACTATACAGTAACACGCTGACAAACACGTCAAAGGAAAAAAAGAACAGGCAAGAGGATGCTGATGAAGGAGGGAGGCATATACATGAAGTTTGGGAGTGAGGCTGACATAAGAATGTCTCAGAGTGTAAGTGTAAGCCACCTGTCCACTAGTGGGTGGGGTGGGCAGGGATATAAGCAAAGACCCCAAGGCAAAGCTGTGAGACTTTAAGACTCACCAAAGGTTGGTGTCACTGAAAATGAAAACCGGTCCCTTTACAACAAGCATGCACTACCGATAATCCCACAGAAAAACCTCCAAGTCAAACACTTAAAAGAACGAAACACGGACCCTCCAGAAAAGCCAAATCTTCAGTACAAAAGTTTAAAGCTATCCTGTCACAGTTCCACGAAAATCCTAAGGACAAGACAGAGGTGCAAACGGGATTCCAAAGTTAAGACTTTGGGGAGAGGGAGGGGTGGCTTAAAAATCAGTGCCGGTAAAGAGAAAGCACAAAGCCCCGCATAAAGGACGGCTTTTCAAATCAGTATAGACCCTCACTGAAAACCAGGACACTAGCAGTGAGACAGCAGACCAGAAACAACCTACAGAACCCATGACTCACCCCTGAGTCACTAAATAGCTGCAGGCCACACCTAAAGGCAGACAAAAGTCTGAGGTACACAAGCAAACCCAGGATTTCAAGAAAATTCTGTAGACATTAGGGAGGGACTCTCCTACCAAATTTTCAAAAGCTATTTAGTAATTGACTCATCAGGTAACAAGCTGCCTACATTGTGTATTTTCTTCCTTGGGGTCAAAAGGTGGACAAGGTGCTATATACCTGTAATACAGCACTGAACATGGCGAAGACACTCCCACCCCCAGTTCAAAGTCAACCTGCACTACAGACTTAATGGAAAATATCAATAAACTTAAAATAAAGAGTATATAGCTTGGGACAGAGTAGGGAATGACTAGTCTTAATACACTGTGAAATACACTAACTGATTAAAAAAAAAACTTGTTAGAGTCAAGAAAAATGATAAAAATAGGGATGGTCTCTCCCTTCTAGCCTCCTCCCAGTTCTTCCCAAAAGGTAACTAGGCTAGTGATTTTCATAAAATGGTTTTCTATCATGTGACCTATTTGTCTTTTACATACATAACAGAGATAAAGCCAGCTATGCACTAGGTCTTTCAGTCAAGTCAACAGACTTCTGGGAACTATTTTGAGCCTAATCTATGAAAGAATGGGACCAAGCTTTACTTGGAAATTACGTGAATATACCTCACTCAGTTATACAGAGGGAGACAAGAAGGGGTCCCTCTTCTGTTACTGAGAGACTATGACCATATGACAGGCGAGAGGGGAGGAAACTCAAAGTCAGCAATGTATTAGACATCCATCATTCTTGATCATGCCCATTGCATACTCTTATAAGAAATATTCTCTAAGCTGAGAGTGGCGGCACACCAGTAACCCAAGAACTTGGGGGGTGAATGCAAGAGGACCAGAAGTTCAAGGCCAGTCTGGGCTACATGAGCTCATAAAATAGAATAGTTAACATAGCCAACTTGAACTCCCAGTACCATGCCATACATCCTCAATGAGAGGGTCAGGACATTGAGAAATCCCTCTTTGCACCTCTGTTCCCCACTCAGGGAATGACTGAGACCAGCGAAGACGAGGCTCATCAGAATCAGAATGATCTATTTCCCAATAATCACAGGGGCCAGCATAAACATTAATAGAAAAGGAATCCAAACAACATCCAATTAATTATTCTGGTTTTCTGGCACACTGAGAGAGATACATGGCTCTAACAGGAACACTAAACTTGGATTACTAAGTACTCATGGGAATCAAATTACCATATACTACAGAGTTAGGGGAATGGGCAGACTGCTAATTCTACCTGCTTGCTGGATGCAAGAATACCATCGAGCATCAGTGAACTGTTTACTCAGTCACACTGTGACAAGCCAGAGATGTTTCCTTTTTTATTTGCTAATACTTGTATTATTAATTAATCAGTTAATTTCCTCACAGCCCAATCAGCTTCCCCTCTCTCCTCTCTGCCCCTTTCAGAAATGTGCAGGCCTTCCATGTATATCAGTCAGTGGCAAATTGAGCTGTAGCAAGACTAGGCACCTCTCTCCTATGTAGGCTGAATAAGGCAACCCAGGAAGAAATGGTCCCAAGGGCAGGCAACAGAGTCAGAGACCGCCCCTGCTCCCACTATTAGGAGACCCACAAGAAGACCAAGCCAGTCCCATGCAAGTTCTCAGGTTGGTGGTTCAGTCTCCGTGAGCCCCCATGAGCCCCCATGAGCCCAGGTCAGTTGCCAGTTAGAGATATTTCTAATGCTCAACATGTTAAACATGTTCTGCCAGACATGCAATGGTGAGTATACTGAATCAGGAAGGAGTCAGGGAAGGACTTTTATTGAAGTAACAAAGACATACATCATTCCCCGGAGACTCTCAGAACTAGATCAAGAAGTAGGGTCTAAACATACTCTTTCCACTGTGATAAGGTTCCTACCTCCCCTCAGATTTCTACAGGTTAGGGACTTCTAAAAGAACGTAACAAAGGACTCTTAAGAGCCTTTCAACCTAGAAAATAGGACAACTCTGTCTCCTGAGAGAAATTCATTTATTCTTTCTGTAATTCAGTCCAGTGCCAACATAATCCCTTGTTGTCTACATTTACTGAGAAGCAAGGATCAGACTCTATGATTAAAAAAAAAAAAAAGCCACTAGGTCTCTCAAAAGGGTTTTTCAAATAGTGAGAAAATTCAATGGCTACCTCAAATTTTAAAGCAAAGCAAAACAAAACAACAAAAAAACCCCAACTAACAACCTGCCTTACCTGCTCTTTCTACCTGAGAAAGCAGAGGCCCTACAAGTAGGGGCCTCATCTAGAAGCTTCTGCGCAGTTAGTAATTAGCAGGGGAGAGACCTATTGAAGTGGCAGCTTATAAAAGCACAGGATACTGTGACATGCTGAACTCAATGGTTACAATTCCAATCGTCCTGAACGTAACAGTGGTTTAGATAAGGCAGGAACCTGTTCAAGGCTAGACAAAGCTCCCTACAACAAATGCCCTTATTTCTGACTCCCAGTCTCTCCTATTTCTTGGCAGCCCATAGAACCACCCAGTTTTTCCTTCCTGAATGCCCTCTAGGGTATTAAAAACTTGCTTCTTTCACAGAAAGCCACAACATACAGGAGGTACAGAACAAAGAACTTTTTAGCTTTCCAAAGCCACATACTTACATAGCACTCACATCTGAAAGAATACCAGGGAGTCTGAACAAGACTGAATGACTCACGAGAGGTCGTAAGTAGAAAGGTTACCTTACGGAGGATGAATGCACGAACAAGGAAGAATAAAATTCCAGACATAATACCAGAAAGCAGTGGAGAGACGAACCAAGACATCACTGGAATAGAACACAAAGTCAAGTGTCAAGCAATGAAACTAAGGAAACATGCTTCTGAATTGTTAGGTATTCCGTTTCTGATACTCTTAACTCTGACCCCTACTTTACACCACACACTCACTCCCCATACACAGTATTATAGAAACACATGACAAGAATAAGACCTAAACCATTCAGAATTTAAACATACCAATTTTTATCAGTTCAGACCACTTGACGCCCTTTTGCCCCTGGGCCACGAGGGAGAAACCTATGGTTGCGCCGACAATACAATGGGTCCCAGAAATGGGGAGCTTCAAAAACGAAGCCACTAGTTGCCACACAGCAGAACCTGAAAGAAAATCAATAAAATTTAGTTGGGGTAAATGGCAAACAACCCCGTTATGTAAGCAGCACATTCTCATGAAAGTAAGCGGAAAAGGTTGAGGACAAAAAAGGAACCACCCCAAGACACAAATTGGTTCTGGCACTGGCAAGAACAGAAGGCATAACAAGAACTTACCAAACATAGCACTGACGGAGCCAGCCATGAGCAAGCCTTGAGTTACGTTGTACATCTCCACATCAATCAAGCCCTTCCGGATGGTTTCACTCACTTTGGCCCCCAGCAAGGCGGAGCCCACAGTTTCGAAAATGCTAGCTAGGATGCAGGCTTGCTTGAGAGTCACTACACCTGAGCCCACAGCCGTACCAAACGAATTTGCTACATCATTGGCTCCCACGGAGAATGCCAAGACAAACGCAATGATGAAGCCCAGGATGAGCATCCATAGCTTGTCATCCACCACCGGGGCAGAAGCGGTAACGGCGGCTAGAGTACTAGTAATCGGTGCCAGGGTAGATGCCATTTTCTAGTGTAGTGGTTCTTTAATTACTGCGCGGCTTTCAAGATGTGTAAACGGAATGAGGTATCAAGATGCTATAATAAATAGTATATATTATATAAAATTAAATACTGTAAACTACGGCACAGAAACCGAGCTGGGGAGTTACTGCTATACGTTGCGTATGGACGTCTGTTGTCTGGGGTTTCTTTGGCTCTGGAGGGCTACAAGCACGGAGCAGAATCCCATGGCGGATTAAAGAAAGGACGCAAGTTCATCCTGGGGGAACCAAGTGGGAGAAAATAACAATAGCGGCGCATCCCTGGCAAGGAGGCAGCACAGAACTCCGCAGTGCCCTCGGCCCGCTACTTCTTTCCTCTGACCCCGAAAGGATGTGCGCGGTGGAACACATGGCGATCTCGAAGAGCTCGCTCCCTCCCCCGCCCCGCGTGCCCCGCCCCACGCTTCCAGTTCAGTCTCCGGCCCGCCGGCCCGCGCGCGCCCTCCGTGGAAGACCGGAAAAAGGCCATTCCCGCGCGCGCGCCTGCCCGAGGACCGCCGAAAAGGCCCGCGGAAGGGTGCGGCGGGCAGCAGCGCCGTGGGGATCCCGCAGCTCGCAACTCCCCAGCCGCCCGCCAGCTTCCCTCGCCCCGGGCCCGCTCCAGAGAAGAAAGAACCATTGCAAGGGCTGCCGCGCCGCCACTCACCAAAGGAAAGAGAAGGCCAACCGGAGACCAGGAGAACGGGGCTGAGGCTGGCTGGAGCCACGGACGCACAGCCCGGGACGGCAGCACCCGGAACGACACGAAAGGGCTCGCCACCCACTCGGAAGCAGCCGCGGGCACCTCAGAAAGAAAAAGCGCAGCGCGCGCCGGCGGCCATCACTCTAGCGAGCACCCCGCCGGCCCCTATTTATAGCCCGCTCCGCACCCCACGTGACCTGCCGAGCCTCGCGCCCGCCCGAAACCCCACCTCCGACGTGACGCAGCCACAGGCTGGTCGGGCGCGCCTGGCCGGGTGAGGTAGACTACTGCTCTGATTGGTCCGGACGCCGCCTAGGCTCCGCCCCCAGAGGGGAGCTGGTCCACGTGGGACTGGCCGGCCTCCTCCCCGCTGCCTCGCCCGGGTTATCCTGTCTGTGCTGGCCACGCCGGGTGGTAGCGGGCGGGGACAGTGGGGGAGTCTGGCCCGGGCTCGCAGGTCGCCACGCTGGGACTCGGAGGCCGCAAGCAAGGTCGTTCCGAGTTTCTCCCACGCGGGCCCGGGTCAGCTGTGTGGCGACGCGGAAGAGCTCGTGTGCTGGGACCTGCCCTTGGCCGGACCCGAGCGGCTCCTCGCCCTCACGTGGCCGCCTCGCTCCCGCAGTCATGCACTTGGGTGAAAACGGAAAGATTCCGGAGTCACGAGGACAGGCTTGCTTTCCCAGTTGTGGCACTGCGCTGGGGGAGAGCCGTGGGTCGGTAGTGACTCCGAGGCGGACCTGCGGTTTCAGAGCCCCGGCTGTGGCGCAGCGGGGAGGGATGTTGCGTCGGACTCGAATTCTGACTCTTAATTGCTGCAGTGTGTGTCACCTTGAACAAACCCTAGGTCTCTCAGACCGAGTGCTCAAGAACGTGAGATACTAGCAGTGTGAGAGGAGGAGACCGGTGGACGGGTTAGGATTGTGTAAAACACAGCAAAGATGCGTTTCCTGTCTGCTCATCGGGGCTTGTGGCGACAGGCAGTACTAATTCAGGTATTCTGGTTACAAGTTCTTACCCAGGAAGAGCCATATGAGCTAAGATGCAAGCATGTGACTGGAATTCATAGGTCTTCAGGAAATGTTCATTTCCTCGTTACTTTTTCCTGAATGTGCCTGTTTTAGAACGTAGGGAAAGGTGAGGGAGGATGTCCTTTCGCGTCCTGAAAGTTTTCCCATCCTTTTGAAATAAAGGTTGCTTCCTGGCCCCCAGCGTGGTATGCGGCATTAGATTAGTTATGCGCAGTTGGCTTTTCGTTTTACTGCCTGAGAGATTTAAGTCTTGAGGGTTATAGTGATAGTCAAGTATTCCAGCCAGAACTAGCTGGTTTAGAATGCCCTTTTAAAACCCTTCCTGCAGTTTTATCACCTCCAAAGGTAGGGCACCGAATAACGGGGGAAAAAAAGATGCTGTAAATCAGAACATCCCCTGAGTGTCCTCTGACCTATCTTCTGGTTGACTCAGAATCATGTAGTATGGACAGGTCTGTTGACCCCAAGGTCATAGCTGGAAACCAAAGTTCATGTTCCAGGACACTGACCATGGAGTGTAATTCCGGCGCCTTCAAATACAACACTCTCCGTCCTTACTTCATTCCAAGGTTATAAAACATCGAATACAAGGACTGGTTTGTTAAAGGCTGTTAGTGTTCTGCCAGTTAAAACAATTCTTAAAGTAATTATTTGTGAGGAAATTGCTCATGACTTCCCACTGTTTCTGACGTGTTTTGCTTCAGTCTGTTCATGGTCGTGCTTTTTGCCTCTTGAAATTGAGACAACCGAGGTGAGGGAGGCAGCCATGGTAAGGTCCACTAAAGGACAAGAGCAGACTCCTGAGGCAGAGTTTAAGATGTGGAGAAGTGGCTGTGGTTCCGAGAGGCTGCAGTATTCTGAGACCTGGCCTTATGTTGGCTGGTAACACTGTACTTTCAGGCAGAGGAAATTTTCTCTGTCTCAGGAGAGTGTTTTTAAATGGGTGGTGGAGGGGGAAGATCATGAGAAGGTTTTTGGAGAGTTTTGTTTTGTTTTGTTTGTTTGTTTGCTTGTTTTTGCTTTTTTCGGTTTTTTAATTTTTTTTATTTTTATTTATTTATTTTTTTTTAGGCAGGGTCCCACTGTGTTGCTCTGGCTCTCCTGGAACTCACTCTGTAGACCAGTCTGTCCTTGAACTCACACAGAATCCCCTCCCGAGTGCTGGGATTAAAGCCACTTGCCACCACAGCGGGCTATTAGTTTCAATATTCCGTTTGACACAGCCTAGACGCACCTGGGGAGAGAGTCAGTGAGGGCTTGTCTGGATCAGGTTGACTGTGGGCATGTTTGTAGAGGACGGTCTTAATTGGCGTGGAAAACCAAAGCCTGAAACTACGTGCCACCTTCCCCTGGTGTCTATTGTCATGAGGAACCGCCAAACCAAAAAGCAAGCTGGGGGAAGCTTACACTTCAGCCCTGAAGGAAGCCGGGGCGGGAACTCACACTGGACAGAACCCTGGAGGCAGGAGCTGATGCAGAGGGCATGGAGGGTATCGCTTTCTGGCTTTTGGTCAGCCAGCCGGGGGATGGTACCACCCACAATGGGCTGGGACCTCCCCTGTCAATCACCAATTAAGATGATGTTCTACAGGCTTGCCTATAGCCTGATCTCAATTGGGGTTCCCTCTCAGATAACTCCAGCCTGTGTCAAGTTGACAGAAAATTCTCAGCATGTCTGGTTTGGGTCCCTGGACTCTATAAGAGTAGAGAAGGACCTGGAGAGATGGCTCAGACATAAGAGCACTTGTTCTTAGAGAGGACCCCAGTTTGATTCCCAGTATCCGCACAGTGGCCCGCAATCGTCCATAACTCCAGCCCCAGGGGACCCGACACCCTCCTTTGACCTCTGTACGCACTAGTCATGCATGTGGTCCACAGACATAACATTCAGGCAAGCACATCGAATAAAAGTAGATGTTAAGAAATGGAGAGAACTAGCCTAGCACTGAGCATGCGGGCACTCACGTGGCTGTAATGTGACTAGCCGTTCTAAGCGCCTGTCACCTTGACATTCCCCACAGTGATGGTTCTGCCCTGGAATTACAAGCTAAAGGAAACCCTTGCTTCCCTAAATTGCTTCCTGTCAAGAGTGTTTTATTACAGCTTGAGAATGAAAGTTGAACAGCACATGAGGAACCTTAGCCAGCACACAAACAGCATTGGTTCTCGTATTCCCTCAGTGCTGGGGAAAGTAGTCAGCCAAGGGGATCTGATCCGTGTTAGAATGAAGGCCTGCGGAAGCCTATGGCTAAGTAGTTTCAGGGCAGACGCATCCTTTACCTGGCTAGTTCAGCTTTAAAGAGAAGAGATGAAGGGTCCCTCCTTCGCAGGGCTGTTGGGAGGAGTACATACATGATCAGACTGTAAGGCATCGAAATCCCCTTTCTCTTTATTCAACAGCTAGCCATTAGCAGAGTCCCCCAGCACCTTCCTTTCTCCAGCCATCAGGGCCAAGAGTTCTTTCCAACTTCCTGCTGCAGGAGAAGCCAAGGAAATCTGCTGCTGCCAGAGAGGTAGGGGCAGCAGTGTGATACACAGCATGTGAGTACCCAGGCTTGAATTCTGACTCCTCACAGGGTTGTCATTTTGTTTAATATTTATTTTTTACTTTGAAATATGTATGTGTGGATGGGTATGTGCACTTGAATGCAGAAACCTGTGGAGGCTACAGGTACCAAGTAACCCTAGAACTGAAGTTACAGGCAATTGTGAGCTGCCTAATATAGATCCTAGGAATCAAATTCAGGTCCTTTGCAAGAACGGGTATGAACTCTTGACCACTGAACCATCTCTCCAGCCCCTAATAATACTTTTGTTTTGTCTGTTTATGCATTTGTTTATTCGCTTTGTGGAATAATCTTTTTGTACACTGTGAAGATGTGTCTTTGCCAAGGTGCCTTCTGATTGGTTTAATAAAGAGCTGAATGGCCAATGGCTAGGCAAGAAGAGGTTAGGCAGGACTTAAAGGCACAGAGAGAGAGTCATGAGGCAAAACATAGATTAATATAAATGTGTAGCACGATTAATAAAAACCTAGAGACAGAAATTAGGACTCAACCTGAAGGTCAGAAAAGCAAAACAGCCACTGGCTCTTACCTCTACCTCAATCCAAAATGGTGATCCTGCCTCCAGGATCCTCATTCTGAGGAATGAGACTGTGTGTGAGAGCTGTCTCCTCCCGTATTAATATTATTCCTCACTAGGGCTGGGATTAAAGGTATGCACCACTATCGCCCTATTTCTATGGCAAACTAGTGTGGCTACTGGGATTAAAGGTGTGTGTCACCACTGCCTGGTCTGTAACAGTAAACAGCTGACCAGTGCATCTGTTTTACTCTCTGAACTTCAGGCAAACTTTAGTTATTAAGATACAAATGAAATATGACTACATAAATGGATTAATTTAAGTTACAAGTGCTAGTAGAACTTAGAACTTAAAGCTATAGGCCAAGCTTTAATTAATAAGTCTCCATGTTGTTTTTTGTGAGCTGGTGGCCCAAAGCAAAAGCCATCTTTGATTTGCAGTGCTGAAAATGGAACGCGGGACTTGCATGCTAGACAATCATTCTACTGCTAACACCAGCCTTAGCACCCTGGCCACAGGATCCTGCCGCTGAGTCGTAAGTCTGAGACCCTTCACCTACCTTCACCCTCAGAGGTCAGAACAAAACAGCCTGCCTGGCACTGCAGAACACAAAGCAAGGCTCTGTGGGACAAGACCCCCATCCACGCACACACAGAATTCCAGACAAAAGGAGGAGACAATACCACACATGGGCATTGTGAGCTCAGAGAGACTTACAGTCCAGGAAATATATCTGCAGTCACCATTCAGTATACACGAATGTACATCCTGGAAAAAGTCTGTTGTGGAGAGGAAACTCCACATTCCCTGTGCAGCCAGACTGGGAACAATGACGGTTTCAGAAGCCTCCCATAGGACTTGAAGGGAACAGAGGAAGAGACCATCCCTGGAAGAGAAGGCACCCAGTTGTGTTTTACTCTTTTGACTTTGTGTGGGACCCACTACCCAGCTCCTAAATAAATCACAGACAGAGGCTTACTCTTAGTTACGTCTGCCTGGCATTAGCTTGACTTGTTCCTTGCCAGCGTTACTCATCTTGTCTACCTTTTCCCTCTGGGCTTTTATCTTTCTTATTTCTGTGTGTCTTCCTTTCCTTCTTACTCTGTGGCTGGCCGAGTGACTGGTCCCTGAGGTCTTCCTCTCCTTGTTCTCTCATTGCTGCTTTTGCTAAGTTCTGTTTCTTCTCTCTGCCTCCCAGCCCCGCCTATCCTTTCTCCTTCCTCGCTATTGACCATTCAGCTCTTTACTAGGTCATCAGGTGTTTTAGACAAGCAAAGAATCACAGCTTCACGGAGTTAAACAAATACAGCATAAACAAAAGTAACACACTGTAAAATAATATTCCCCTATGGTACCCTTTAAGGGATAACCTTCTCCTCTACAGCCACTTCCCTGTGCCCAGGAGGACGAGAGAACTGTAAAGTCTGCAGTGTGATTACATGCTTCCTCTGTGCCACCACATATCTCGTGTAACATGCTGTGTGAGTACTTTCATCTTATTTTACAGAGGAGCTGAGGCACAGAGCATGAAGCTGGTTAAATCCAGTTAAAGCCCTAACAAACTTCAGGTACCCCTTCCCCAGTGCCAGGAAGCCCAGAGGCAAGGCAAGTAGATTTGGGTGCTAACTCTGATTTTCACTTGACAGGTTCATTCCTCTCTTCTATTTGACTCTTGAATTTATTTATAGCCTATATTTAAAGCCTTCTCAAGCCCTGTTGGAAAAGGAAGGGGTACTTCTATACCTGCCTCCAAGATTGGCCCCAATTTCCCTAGAGTAAGAAGACAGGAAACTAGCTCTCTCTAGAATGAAGTTGTGTCATGACCTTGGTGTTGCAGTAAACCCTTTACAGTTTTCCTGGAAAAGAGAACCTGTCTTGCAAGGCAAACTCCCTGTTTGGGGCTGGTGCGATGGCTCACTGGGTAAGAGCGCTTGAAGTGCAAACATAAGGACCTGAGTTTGAATCCCCAGCACCCCTGTAAAAAGCCAGGCATGGCTGCATGTGTCCATAACCCTAGTACTGGGAGAGCAGGAGACAGAGACAGGGATCCCTAGAGCTCTCTGGCCAGTCAAACTAAACAGTAAGCTTCTGACTAAATGTAGCAAGGTGGAGGGCAATAGAGAAAGACAGCAAATATCCTCCCCTGGCCTTCACACACACACACACACAGAGAGAGAGAGAGAGAGAGAGAGAGAGAGAGAGAGAGAGAGAGAGAGAGAGAGAGAGAGAGAGAGAGAGAGAGAGAGAGAGAAAGAGGAGGGTGGTGGAGAACCACCAATAATCTCTTGGGATGCAGAGACAGGAAAATCCTGAGTTCTAGACCAGCCTGGGCTACACAGCAAGATCCTGTTTCTAAAACCAAATAGAATCAAGAAAAGTAATGATTCGAGGAAGGAGTCCAATCACTTCCCCATCTGTTTTGGATACTGCTGACCTCTCTGTCTCCAGACAGCCTCACATCTTCCTACTCCCTAGCTCACAGACAGGATGTCCATGATTGTCCACACTAGATCCCGGGGAACCTAGAACCTGAAGTAGAGAACTTTCACGTACTGAGCCACCCAAACTCTGATGTGAAAAGCACAGCTGAGGTAGATCTCAGGCCAGCACAAAGCATGAACAGCTGGACCTGGTTGTGTCAAGGAAACTAGTGGTCCATTTTCCTGTCAACACAGGAGTTGGCCTACCCGCTCCAGACCTTGTGCACCTCTTTCCTGACAGCTCATCATGGGGTGGCTTCCTTCTGGCTTGTACTCACACATGTGGGTGTGATGTGGCGGAGGACCCAGACGGTGGGAAAAGGAACACAGCTCTCTAACATCCTGCAGTGGTCCAGATGTCTTGGCTCTCCTTTTGAGCCAGCCTCAGGACCACACAGCATTCTCAGATACTTCTTCGGAAGGACTTCAGACGTCAGAAGTCTTCGAGGAGACCCATACTGGGACTCGCCATTTTCACCAATGCTCTGTCTCCTCAGCTCTTCCACCTAGGTAAAGGGATTGCTGGAACCCGTGTTATGGCCATCCTTCTCCTTGTCTCCACACCCCAGGACATGTGGTTTCAGCCTGAGAAAGCGAGGGGGTGGCAAGACATGAGTCATCCACACAGTCATCCAGGAGCAGAGAGGCAGCTTTGAGCTCAGCATGGCTTCCCTAGCTCTTCAATCAGTCACCAGATAGCCTGCTGTGATCTCCATGCCCAAGGTTGACAAGCCTGTGTCCTCACAAAACACAGACTCCTTCCTTGCACTTGAAACACGGACTGTGAGACCAACAGCAGCGCAGAAGTCAACATTCTACACTTCTTCCCACCCTGCCCCTGCTAGGCCTGCCACTCGTGGGCCTGGCCCACACCACACTCTGGCTGCTAGTAGACCCTGATTGATGCTTCACTCAGCAAACATTTCCAGAACGTGAGAGATTATGCCAGGCTACCTATCACCTAGGTCACCCCACCACCGCAAGGAACCCCTTTTACTAGCATCCCTTCCAGTCGAATCGGGATCATTTGTTCCTTTGATCCCTTCACCAAAAGAGGACTCTTTAAGAACAGCTCCACAGGGCTCAATGGACAGAAAAATAATGCCTGTCTTGGGGCTGGGTGAGGGGGATTTTATCATAGCGTTATTAGTCTCTAATGCTAGGTGTTTGGGGCCCAAGAGGTGCTCCAGGCTGAAGAAAATGGTGCACACATAATTCCAGCACTCAGGAAGTAAAGTGGAGAGTCATGAGCTGGAGTCCAGTCTGGGCTCCTTAGCTAGTTAATACCATGCTGAGCTACAGAGCAAGACCGTGTAGCAAAAAAAAAAAAAAAAAAAAAAAAACCAAAAAAAACCTAACAACACGGGCTAGGGAGGATAGTGCACTTACCCAGTGTGGTAGAAAGTCCTTGGTTGGTTAGGTTCTTGACAGAGGGAAAGGGTAAAGGAAAAAGTTAAGAGGGGAGAGAACAAGAATGAGAATAGATTTCAGCTGTCAGGGGAAACTCAGGTTATGAGCAAAGCTTTACTTCTTCCTTTTCATTGGAGAAATCTATTTCCGGTGATGGAGGCTAAAGGTCCTGCCCTCTGCCGGGCTCCTCAGAGTGCCATCATGGATCTGCAGCAAGGGAACTCGCCAGGTCCCCACCCTCAGTGTCCAGAACCGGACATCGTCTGTGCGGAGGGAGCAATGGTGGTTCACCCTAGGACCTTGTGCGTGTGGACAGCGCACTCCTCCGCTGCGCAGCAGCCCTAGTCCCAGAACACCCGACAAGCTCCTGTGTGATTCGGATGCATGTGGCCGTTTGGGAAACAATGACAAAAATAATGATTGTTGCCAACAGGCAAGTTTAGAAACAATGTGTTTACATGTTCTTTTTCAGTCAGAGGCTGAAAGCCGCCACTTTTTCTCTATATTAAGTCTTGTTTTCCTGAGTTTCTACAACTGTACTCCCCCACAGGCTTGGAGGTCAGACCATCCACAGCGAGAGGCTCTACCACTTCTTTGCCCACCGCGCCTTTGGGCAGGTTGTCTCACCTCTCCCTGTAGCCGCACCTGGCATCTGGAAAGCACTCATTTGCATAACGATTGGATTGGAGTGGCCCGGACTGGAGCTTTTGCTGGTTCTTGAGATGAAGTCTGTGAGTCTGAGGCTGGCTTGAACTCACTCCGTAGCCAAGGATGATCTTGAACTCTACATCCTCTTGCCTCCCCCTTTTCAGGAGCAAGTTTACAGGTGTAAGCCACCCTCCCTAGTTATGAGGGCTTGGGAACCAAACTCAGAGCTTCGTGGCTGCGAGGCAAGCCCTCTTCTAGTTGAGTTACAGCCCCTAGCTCCATTTGTTTGTTCTTAAAACATAGTCTTGTTAGTAGGGTGGCCTTGAACTTGTGACCCTCCTTCCTCTGCCTCCCAAATATCAGGATTTTGTTCGTGTGTTATCCTGCCCAGTCATTCAGATTTTGTGGAGATCACATTTACTATCTTTTGAAATGAAATGATTCTGTAGTTGGTGAGCTCATTCATTATTCTCAGATTCACTTCAGTTTTATTTTTCCAAAGTGACTATTTTTCTTGCAGACAATTTAACTATTACCTCAGAAAATACCCATTTCAGTCATGTTTGGTACCACATCTCTGTAGCCCCAGCATTCAAGAACCTGAAGTAGGAAGACTACAAATTTTAAGACAGCTTATGTAATAAGGCCCTGTCTCAAATACATACATTTATGTATAGTGTGAATATGTATGTATGCATAAGTGTATATGTGGAGATATACACTGTTTCAGGATTATCTATTCTACTATCCCATCACCGAAAGAATTGAGCTTTTTTTTTTTTTCAAAAAAAAAAAGATTTATTTATTATGTATACAGTGTTCTGTCTGTGTGTGTGCCTACAGACCAGAAGAGGGCACCAGATCTCATTATAGATGGTTGTGAGCCACCATGTGGTTGCTGGGAATTGAACTCAAGACCTCTGGAAGAATAGTCAGTGTTAACCTCTGAGCTACCTTTCCAGCCCCGAGAACTGAACTTCTTAACTGTTGTCACCTTGTACAATTCCTTTGCCTTTTTAATAACAATAATTTGCAAGAGCCTAAGTATTCTTTCAGAATTTGCCCTCTGGGTCCCAGATGCCTTTGGAAGCATTGTTTCATTTCCTCTTCACAACTGTGCAATGTACACAAAGAAAGTGTTATCTTATAGATAATGAGAGTCCCAGTGCCCACAGTCACATGGCTAGCAAATAAGATAGTGAGACCCAGGATTCTGGTCCTATAGGCCCTAGTGGGCACTGGATGGATGGCTGGATAGATAGATAGATAGATAGATAGATAGATAGATAGATAGATAGATAGATAGATAATTACCATGTGTTGCATGTGTTGATTCAAATCAAAGTATACACCCACAGGGCTGGGGAAAGAATATGAGAATATGTCATCTTCCAAGATGGCCCCAACTGTGAATACTCCATTCCATTGTCCATAGGAACCCACTTGTGCTTTGACGATTTAGCTCTCAAAACATGGTCATTGTAACTATTGGGCTAAACAAAGTCTACAGTTCCAGATACTCAGAGGCTGAGAGTAGAAGATTGCTAATTCAAGACTAGTCAGGGCAACATCATGAGAGCCTGTCTTAAATTAAAAAGAAGGTTGAGGGAACTGGAGAGACAGCTCAAGGGTTAGGAGCATATATTGTTCTTAAAGAGGACCTGAGTTCAATTCCCAGCACCCACACCAGGCAGCTCACAACTATCTGTAACTCTAACTTCAAAGGATCTGATGTCCCCCCACCTGACCTCATACACATACTTCACTTATACATAAGCAATAATGGCTATTTTTTTTTTTAAGAAGAGGGCTGGGGATATGGCTCAATGGCAGAGCACTTGCCTAGCATGCACAGAGCCCAAGATTCCGTCCCCATTACCACGGGCAGAGGACAAAACCTGTCAGACTAATTGGTGAAATTATTTACTGCAAGAAAAGCAACAAACTCTGTATTAAAAATAATATAGTCTCAAAAACAGCTCCACAGAGGTTACCCACTTAAAAGGGCACCTCCTGGAAATCCCAGATTTCTATCTAATGCCCCAAATAATCACCATTAACAGTTACACACACACACACTTTTATATTTTCTCTAATATATATAGTTTTTCTTTTTTAACCAAATGAAACCATACCATGGACTTACGTAACTGTTCTTTGGTCTCTTATCACTATCTTGGATTCTTTTGCAGTCTTCCTGATTGTTTTCCTGGATTATCTGCATAATAATAGTCTACTATAAAGTGTGTCTGTCTGTCTTTCCTTGTGCAACTATATTGGCTGGGTTGTAAGCTGCACGATGTTTTTTTTTTGTTTGTTTGTTTGTAGCTTTGGATCCTGTCCTGGAACTAGCTCTTGTAGACTAGACTGGCCTCGAACTCACAGAGATCTGCCTGCCTCTGCCTCCCGAGTCCTGGGATTAAAGGTGTGTGCCACCACGGCCCGGCAATGTTTTCATTACCTATATAATAATGTACCAACTCAGACACCCACCCAGCACACAGAAGGAAACACCCAGGCCAAGGCTGAGGGGTGTTTTCCAATCCCTTCCAGATCACAGGTGGCTACCCACATCTCCCTCTCCAGTGTCAGCCTTTCTTTTTAACTCTCAGATCTTTGAAATCTTTTGATTCTTCTCCTCAGCCAAGCAGCATTTCCTCTGCCTTCCCCTTCCAGCCTGGGACCTGTCATTTCTGAACAAGATTGTCTCTCTCCCATTTCCACCGCCCCTGCTTCTGTAGACCAGGGTTTCTTCCTTCCTCCGTCCACCCTCTTTCCAGTCTGTCTTCTCCCCAGCAGCCTCCCACAGCCCAGCTGATGAGCACCGTCTTCCCCCAGCCATGTGGGGTGTATGTTTGCTTACCCAGTGAGGTCGTCCTCGCCTTCACCTCCTTGCTTGTTGACATCCCCACCTCCACAGAGCCTGCCGTTGGCATGGCGGTTGTTATGGGGTCATCGTGGGTAACCAAACTCTGAAGAGACACAGTTTTGCTGCCAACAACTGTAAGTCTGTAGTTGGCAACTCAGAAAGGCTGGCTCAAGGATCTTGCTGCCAATAAATAACCGAGGATTAAGCCAGCTCTTGCCCTCACCTCCCAGTGGGTACCACTTTCATTTCCTATCACTCTTGGGCATCTAGCATGGACCACTCAGAACACTTCACTGATGTTTCCAACCCTCGGGACATGTGGCTGGCAGCTCTAATTGGGCTCTGGGATGCGGGGCAGGGGAGGAATAGGTGCAGAAGGAGAAAGGAGTGCTGTCTGGTGCTTAGGATCCCAACCTTGAGCTCAGAACACCCTCTCTGCTCTTGGTCCATCCATCCAGTGGCCTCACATCTCCCTCTGCCTGCAGGAATGAAGACCAGGGCCTCAGGGACTTTCCACCAGCAGGGGCTAGAAGATCTGACACAAGACCGAGGGACACGGGAACTGCAGATGGTTGTGAAATCCAAGATTAGCATTTCCATCCACCCCAGGGTGTGTGTGTGTGGGGGTGTCACTAGCTCCTCTCACCCTTATTGTCTTCTTTGTCCCCAGCAGGCTCATGATCCAGGACAGTTCACCTCTAAACACCTCCAAGTTGCCTGTGCTCTGACTGCAACTCCTCTCTGCTGCAGGTTCCCTGAGACAGTGGTCCCTACCCACTGCCTTCCTGCCTCTCCAGCTGCTGAGATGATTCATGTGACTTTTGACCTCCTGACACTCAGGCCTTTCTCAAGGCTTCCTAGGTACCCTATCACTGAAATGCTGATGGAGCTCCCAGTATAAGTGTGTGTGTGTGTGTGTGTGTGTGTGTGTGTGTGTGTGCGCGTGCGTGCGCGCGTGTGTGAGAGGCTGGCTCGTCAGCTGAGCCCCAGGGAGGCTCATATTAGAAGTGCATACTGTCATGCCCCCCCCCTTTTACCACCAGTGCCGGGGATTGAACTCAGGTCCTCACATTTGTGAGGTGAAGCATTTTACCCATTGAGCTGTCTCTTCCCCCCTCAAGCAAGACTCCTTTTTAACGCGGTCTCTGATGACTCTGTGTGATCTCCACCTCTCCAAGTCCTGAGCAGTCTCCTTAGCCAGCCCTCATCATCTCTCTCCCCAGGAGTCTCACCTGATTGGTCTGCGCTGAAATCACCACCTCCAGGCGCACTTCCACTAGCCCAGTGTCTCCTCCCACCATCCTCAACACAGGCTGTGTAGCTCTTCCAACAGCTGTAGCGAGGTAACCCCCAGATGTCTCAATGCCTCCAAGCAGCAGCCCTCTCGGGAATAACCAGAGCAGTGTCCCTCAGCTAGGTACTCTGAGGTTTCAAGCCCACTGTTCTTTGAATCTCCCAACTCCACATCCCAGGAATCTACATCCTGTGGTTTCACCCAGATGACTGGCTCCTTCTACTCTCACTCCTGCCTCTTCCTCGATTATCTGGGTGCTAGGTGGCCCAATTCTGTAGACATGCCATGGGCCATTATCAGTCATCATCAGTCCACTCTGTCACGTAACCCGTGATGAAGAGCTCCCATCCTTATCCTTACATTCATCCCCTGGGATCCTCCTATTCAAGTTTAACTTTACTATTCAAGGTGTCTACTCCGCCATTGGGTCTGGTTGATCTGCTCTGTTTTCCCATGTATTTATTTAGCTATACCAACAGAATACTGCTGTGGACATCTTCGCCCTGCAGTCAGAGCACAGAGAACTTAGCAGGGACTGGCAAATTCAAGCTCAGGGCAAGACAAAAAGACCAGCAAGTGAGATACCAAGGAAGGTCCGTATTAGAAGGTTGAAGGCCCCAGGGTGACCACACCCAACCCTTTTTCACTTAGACTGGACTATGAATCACCAGTTTTACTTCCTCAGTGAGGTGCCGTGCCTGCAGCCATTCCAGAAATCCTTCTCTATGGTTGAGTCCCCTAAGGCATCGGTCAGCCCCTCAGTGTCTGGCCGGGTGCAGTGACCTGCTTTCCTCCTCACGGAGTGGAAGAAGCAGCAGCCCTCAGCCAGCCCAGAGGTGTCAGCTTCTCTTCTCGCCCAGCCAGCTGCGCTGCACCTCGAGTCAGGTGCTGCCCAGGGCTCCGACTTCCTGGGAGGGAGAAGCAGAGCTGACATTCTCACTAGAGAAAGGGTGGGCCTGCCCCTCCTCTGCTCATGACCCGCTCAAAGGCAGCCAGCCGGAGTTTGCCAGGGAGCTCCTGCTGGCGACATTTTGATCATCCTAAGCCTTTGCTAAGTGCCATCAACACGCTGACTTAAGTGGTAAAGGATGCCGGGCTGATGTGGGCTGTGGGGGTGGAGGAGAAGACGAACAGGAGGAGGAAGCAGATGGAGAGAGGCGCGAGAAGAAAAGAACACATGGAACCAGGCTCCTTGACTAGACTCTGGTTTCTCCTGCCCTACCCGCACCGTCCTGTGTGGCCAGCCGCTCATCTGTTGACACCTTAGTTGTTTCCCAGCCTCTGCACCCCACCGGAATCAGCCTGCACAGTCTTCCAAGCCACTGTTTTCTATCATTGCCTAGGGGACACAAGCCAGTGGCTTTGTCTAGCCAGGGCTTTCCATGACTGGGCCTCCTATCCGTTGGCTTTATTTTCCATTGCTTCACAGGGGAAAATGTCGACTGTGCCCAGCCTGGCTTGTCATTGCCACCACTCCCTCCTGTGCACTGAAGCAGCCGTGCATGGTTACTTAGCAAAAGGCAACCTTAGCATTGTTTCATCTTGGTGGTTTCTCCCATAATCATTCACTGAGTACTGCCATTCATAAAACTGGAAAAAGGTTAACTTTCTCAGAAATCTTACTGCTTCTCAGCCTTCCCCCTGGTTCCTTCCCTCTAGTAATCTCAAACAATGGTGAAGCTACCTGAATTCTGCAGGTACGAACCCAAGGCTCAGAAGAGACCGGCTGCTCCCAAGCTGGAAGAATCCTGGGCCAGAGAGTTGCAGGCTCAGCTCAGGACCTTTTCAGTCCACAGGTCAAGGTCATCCCACTTTACCTGACTAAAGTGAAAACCATATGCGCTTGAGAGCGTGGGCCATCCTCACTTTCTGTGTTTGGCAAATAGTGAACACATTAGTGTCTTCGTCTATGCAAGCCGCTGAAACAGGATTCCACAGACCTGTGGTCTGTAAGCAACAGAAATGTATTGCTCACAGGAAGCTGGGAAGTTCAAGAGCAGGATGCCCACAAATTGGTGTCTAGCGAAGGGCCATCCTCTCTCTGGTCTACTTTGTTCACATGATAGAGCCCGAGGGATCTCTTTGGGAGTCTCTTCTAAGAGTACTGATCCTATGCACGAAGGTTCCACCCAATGGTCTAATCACCACCCTAAAGTCCTGCTTCTTGATGACACCACGTTTGGACTCAGGCTCAACACATGACTTCTGAGGAGCATAGTCTATTGCAGATGGGTTATGACTACTCTCTCAAAAAAAAAAAAAAGAAAAGAAAAGAAAAGCAGCACTAGGTAAGTAGTTAAGCTGCTGTTTTCGGGGTTTTTTTTAGATTTATTTATTATGCATACAATGTTCTGTTAACATATATACACCAGGAGGCACCAGATCTCATTATAGATGGTTGTGAGCCACTGTGTGGTTGCTGGGAATTGAACTCAGGACCTCTGGAAAAGCAGCTAATGCTCTTAACCTCTGAGCCATCTCTCCAGCCCCTCGTTGTTGTTTTTTTTAGTGTTTTCTTTATTATTTATTATGTGTACAGTGTTCTGCCTGCATGTACACATGCAGCCCAGAAGAGGGCACCAGATCTCATTACAGATTGTTGTGAGCCACCATGTGGTTGCTGGGAATTAAACTCAGGACCTTTGGAAGAGCAGTCAGTGATCTTAACCTCTGAGCCATCTCTCCAGCCCCTGTTTTAGTTTTAATTTACAGGATTGTGTGTGTGTGTGTGCATGTGCGTGTGTGTATGTGTGTGTGCATGTGCGCGTGTGTATGTGTGTTGCCTGTTATTGAACCCGTGTCTTCACACCAGTGGGATAGGCAAGCACCCTGAACAACAACATCCTCACCTACCCCTCAGGTTCAGCGTAGAGATGAGACGACCAGAGTTGAGGATGTAGTTCAGTTGGTAGAGTGCTGGCTCAGCTTGTGCAAAGCCTCAGATTCAATCTCAGTCTCCATACCAAATAAACTGGGCTGAGTGGGATGGGCCTCTAGCATTCTGTAATCCTCTAGTAATCCTAGCATTCTGGACATGGAGGCAGGAGGTCATCCTCCACGGGCGTAGTTCAAGACCAGCCAGGGTTATATAAGACCCTGTCTCAGAAAAATAAAATTACTTTCCTCCCCCTTAATCTGAGATTTTTAAAAAAACTATGTACAAGTGTTTTAGCCTGTATGTATGTCTGTGTACCCAGTGTGCTATGTCTGAGGAGGTCAGAAAAGGGTGTCAGCTCTGGAACTGGAGTTCCGAGAACTGTTAGCCACCAGGTGGGTGCTGGGAATGGAATACAAGGCCTCTGGAAGAGCAATCCTCGTGCTCGTAACTGCTAAGTTATCTTTCCAGCCCAATGTTGTCCCTTTGACAACAGCACAATGCTGTCCTAGAAAGTATTTGATAAGGTTGAAAACAGAGAGCAGGGTATGTGAGACTCTGCAGTTCCTAGCTGGAGCCTTCTCATCAGCCATCGAAAGGCTGCAGTGTAGCCCACTTTTATAGCAGATACTATAAAAGTATCTGCTACTTTTTTCTCGTGAAGGATGTGTGATTACTGTTATCAGCAGACAGAATCATGACAACATTTTGTAATGTAATTTCATGATTTATATATTATGTTTTATGATGCTATTTTGACAGTTACTAAAAGGCTTTATAGCTGGAAAGTCGCTCTATTGGGATGGGAGGTGGAAACATCTCCCCCACCCTTGCATTCCTCTCTCATCTTATTCACGGTGAGGCTGTGCTAGACAGGGGTGGTGTTAACTCAAAGGGGCTGCCTATTACCTGCCATTATTACCTTTGAATGTCCAATCACCTCCTGCATCCCAGAGTCCCATTGTTTATGCCCCGTCTTTGAAGTCTAGATTTATTTTCTTAATTTCTAAACTTTTTGGTTTGTTTTTTTTTAATATACTTCTTTTTTAAAAATATTTATTTATTTATTATGTATACAATATTCTGCCTACACATATGCCTGCAGGCCAGAAGAGGGCACCAGACCTCATTACAGATGGTTGTGAGCCACCATGTAGTTGCTGGGAATTGAACTCCAGACCTTTGGAAGAGCAGGCAATGCTCTTAACCGCTGAGCCATCTCTCCAGCCCTGGTTTAGTTTGTTGAGACAGGGTTTCTCAGCTCTGGCTGTCCTGGAACTCACTTTGGAGACCAGTCTGGCCTCGAACTCACAGAGATCCTCCTGCCTCTGCCTCTGAGCTTCCCCAGCTTAATTTCTAAACTATTAAGTATAAACATAGCATTGCAGGGATAACTGTGTTCTGTAAACTCCCTGTTAACACTGGTCCCTCCTCCTCAGCCCAGGGCAGCTCCTGCCACCCTGAGACAGAGTGCCTTGCGTTGCCCTGCTCTTGCCTACCGGGTCCCTCTAGGAAGGCAACAGTGGAAAAATAGGAATCTGTAAACCCCATGGGCACCACAGTTCAGCTCCTCTCGCTCAGTCACAGATTCCTGATCGCTGGGTTTCCCTGGCCAGGTGGCATCCGGATTGTCAGGGGAGCAAATGGTCACCTACATAAGAAGGAGTGACAGTACCACATGAGATGAGCCATCTTAAGGTGAGCCTGCGGCAGCAGGTAGACTCTGAAATGGGATGAGTTGTTAAAGGTATAAAGGAAAAAATAATGAAGTACCAAAGAGGAAAAATACAAAAAGCAGGACTAGGGCCTAGTTCTTATCCAGACCATGGAAGCCATCGCCACTGTCAGTAAACCCCCAAAGAGGGCTCCTTCCTTGTAATGAGGCCAAGTTCACAGTCTGCAAAGCAGAACTGGCCAGAGCCCCCACTTGTATATAGCTTAACTCTAATCTGATCAGGTTGGGGTGCGAAGCTCTTCTCAGTTTAGCAATGGCAGAGTATTCCTGTGCTTTAAGATGGAGAGTTCTACCTCCAAGTCCCAACAAGCGCTTTGTGGTTTTGATGCTAGGATCTCATGTTTGCTGGACAAGTGCTGTTGAGCTACATCCCCAAACCCACACAGGCAGCCTGGTAAGAAATGAAATAAAGAAAATACCAGAGTGCATTCAATAGTGTAAGTATTCTTTCCTGAAAATTGTGTTATAGGTGTGTGTCTGTCTGCAGGTGCAAACTGTTGATGAAATAAAATGTATTTCTTAGTGTGGGTGGAGGCTGAAAAAGTTTTTAAAATATTGGTTTAAAGGAAAATATCCATGTCTCAAATATTATCCAATGTTATCCAAATATTATCAGAGCTGTGTCTTGAGCTAGCAGAAAGAGAAAAACAAAATTTGGCTCCTGCACCTGGAAAGCTCTGGTTGGAGGTGGCGTGGGGGGACAGGATGTCAAAACCACAGTGTCTGAGGGGTGTCACAGGAGAAACCACCGCCTTTGGGCCCCGGTGGCTGGTCCTGACACTGGCTGTGGGAGGAAGGAAAAAAGTATGTTCCTGATGAAGCATGGATACAAAGCCACAGCCCAGGCCCGTGGCTGGAGCTGTTACCAGGACCTTGGCATTGGTACTGAGGAGGGCTACAAGAGCACTGGGAGCGGACAGGAATGAAAAGAACAAAAGGGAGCAGATACTGGCTTTATCTTCTTGGAGACGTGGGTACCGTGTGTTTGTTTGAAAGAGAAGGGTGTGGAGCAATAGAGGATGGCGACTTGGAGGCCAGATGTTGCCTTTGTTCCCACCCCAAGGCTTTTTCAGACTTACCTCAATAATGATTGTGATTAAGATGCAGGAGACAGTGAGCCCATGGTCTGATGGGAATTCCCTACATTTAGATTTTCTTCTTATGTCTTGCTGTCTGCCTAGACCCAGGCTGACCTCTGTCTGGCTTTCAGGCTCAGCTTAGTCCTTTGCCCTATGAAGCCTTCCTGCTTTCTCTTCTCACTTTTTGTTTGCCCTGCCGAGCCCCAGCACAGCTAGGGGAGGGGAAGGGGGGGATAGAGGAGGAAGGGTTTCCTGTCACACCTGGGGTTACAGCCAGGTTGGCTGCGGAGAAACAGCAGGATGGAGAACTCTGATCTCCTGCTTTGCAAACGGGGCGTGGCCTGTCTTCCTACTTCTGCTTCTCGGCACTGACACCAGAGAGGAAGAAAAGAGTGAGACCAACCAAAGGAGCGAGCACTTTCTCTCTCCTTTATGCAAAAACACGTTTTCAACATACAGAGTGCTGTGTATCTGTCTTTCCCTAGGTCGTCATGAGCCAGTCATTGGAAAGGGGCAAGGCAAATACCCATCACGCAGGACTAGGATGTGGAGACAGGAACTTAATAACTATATAACTATACTCCAGCCTCATGTGGGCTTCTTCCTCTTATGAGCCTGGGAACTCTGAGAGGTCACCGGAAAGTCATATTTGATTGTATACATAAGGGATACATATACAATTGTATTACATATAATACCTACTCTTCACTCCCTGCCCAAGCTCCCGCCTTGCTCTCAGTGAGTTCCGCTGTTTGGATTTCCCTCCTCTTTTTTTTTTTTTTTTTCCTGTACCTGTCAGAATCCTACCAATAAGGATTATCTCAAATTCCTTATCTTTCAGGAAAAGAGCTCTCGGAATTCATAGAATCCTATTGGCACTGAAGTATTTATGGGTAGTAAAAGGAATCGTTGGTCCCCTGCTGTGTGATCTCATGATGTTAAATGTTTGTCCCTGAGCTCACTGATTCCTGGAACCTGGGGGACACTGAACTCATCCTCTGTGCCTGCCCCAGAGAGGAGTATGTAATGGGGTCTCAGGACTGAGCTCTCGCATCAGTCGGACAGAAAATCTGGCTTCAGTTGTGGGGACCTTTAGAAGGCTTGAAACAACCATGATGCATCTCTGCCCTTGTCAAAGTAGTCACAGCACCAGTCACTCAAGGAAATGACAGAGATTAAATTAATTTTTAATTAATTGTTTCATGCATAATAAAAGTTTTATTATAAAATGATAAGATGGCGGTCAAAGAACTTTTTTAAAGTATTTTTATTTCTATTTTTTTTTTAAATTTGATTTTAGGGTCCTCCATCTCCTTCCAAATTTTATTTCATTAATTTCGCAGTGGCTCCTAACGTAGGTCAGAACAAAGGCTCTGTGTAGAGAGTACTGTTCCCGCTTCATCCACTTATCCTTTCCATCCTTTCTCTGCCATGCCCTGCAGGTAGCTAATCTCATTAGTCTCCGCTTTCTTTGTCTTCTTTCTATTTCTGTTCCTTTTTCCTTGAACAAATAGGTACACGCCGCTTACTTCTTCCCCCAGGAGGTATTCTTGAGGTAATTTCTTCAAGATTAGTTTTTCAGGACTGCCTCGCCACCTCCACCTCTACCTCCGCTACTACCTCGGCCACCTTCTGTGTCTGCTGGCTGGGAGGAGCTGGACAAGCAAGAGCCCATGACAAAGGGATTTGTTACGTGTTAATCCTCGCTGGAGTTAGTCATAGCAACAAGGAAATGACATTCTTCCCAGGGCTCTATTCCAGATACAGGCCTGAGACCTAGAGGTGTAGCCCTGTGAGCTGTCGTGTAGCTGTAGCACAATCCCAGCTACTCCGAAGGGGGCTGAGGCTAAGGAAACATCCACAGCCGAGCGCTGGCCTGCTCATTCTCCTGGAGGGTGACACAATGCCAAAACACGCTGACTTCTGAAAAGCCACTCCTAAGATCTCTGCCAGCACATGCAGCATCCATGAGACCTGCACACGCGGCAGGAGAACCATGCTCTGTGCCTGTGCTGGCTAGTTTTATGTCAACTTGACACAGGCTGAAGTCATCGGAGAAGAGGAAACCTCAATTAAGAAAATGCTTCCGTAAATTCAGGCTGTAGGCAAGTCTGTCGGGGCATTTTCTTTATCGGTGATTGACACAGGAGGGTCCAACCTGTTGTAGTGATGCCATCCCTGGGCTGGTGGTCCTGGGTTCTCTAAGAAAGCAGTCTGCGTCAGGCAGTGGTGGAGTATGCTTTTAATCCCAGCACTCTGGAGGCAGAGGTAGCTGGATCTCTGTGAGTTTGATGCCAACTTAGTCTACAAGAGCTAGTTCTAGGCCTGCTACACAGAGAAACCCTGTCTTGAAAAAAACAAAAAGAAAAAAAAAAAAGCAGTCTGAATAAGCCATGAGGAGCAAGCCAGTAAGCAGCACCCCTCCATGACCTCTGCATCAGCTCTGCCCCCAGGTTCCTGCCCTGCATGAGTTCCTGCCCTGCATGAGTTCCTGCCTTCACTGCTTTTGATGATGAACTGTTCTATAGAACTGTGAGTGAAATAAGCCTTGTCCTCCCCAAGTTGCTTTTGGTCATGGTGTTTCATCACAGTAGTAGAAACCCTAATTAAGAGTGGAAAAACCTCTACCCGTTTTCCTTATGAGCTTTGAGGATTGAAGATGGGCAATCCTCTGGATCCTTACAGTCCCATTTCAAGGAGTGTATAACATGTCTAGGGACGCTAATTTAAGTTACAGGGAGTTAGCCAAAGGAGTGGAGTGCCACTGACGGAGGTGTTGGTTGGAAAAAGCAGGAGCGGGGAAGATTCTTGCCTTGAAGTCAAGCTGTCCACAGTGGGTTCGGAGCCTATGACTCACCAAGGAAAAGGAGTGTCCTGTGTCCTAGGGGAGGCTGCTTTCTCCAAACAAGAGTTCTTTGGCCAAGGAAGGAAATGAGGCAATCTAAGATTAATCAGTGGCCGCTAGTCAGACAGATCTAGAAGTCCAAGCCATGCCCAGCTACTTCTGCTGAATATTCATTCACCCTTTACCCCAAGGAACCAGGACTTGAACATGCCAGGCTCTAGTGAGAGAGAATGGAGCCCTTCTTGGGTAAGTGGCTCCTTTCTCTGGGCTTTAACTTTTCTCTTCTATTAAGTAAGGAGATAATTGGTAACCAGTGATGCAACTCAGTCATGGCTTCCTTCCTTCCTTCCTTCCTTCTTTCCTTCCTTCCTTCCTTTCTTCCTTCCTTCCTTCCTTCCTTTCTTCCTTCCTTCCTTTCCTTCCTTCCTTCCTTTTTCTTCCTTCTTTCTTTAATCAAAAATTGTTGATACAAGATATTTTGTTCATATACTTTTCCTCTCCAACTCCTCCAAAATCTTCCTCAATTTTTAAAAGTAATTTTATAGGTTTGTTTGTTTGTTTTGCCTGTATATATGTGTATCTATGTCTCTTGTGTGTGCCTAATGTCCCAGAAGGCCAAAAGAGTCCATCAGATCCCCTGGGACTGGAGTTACAGATGGTTGTGGGTTGTGAGCTGCCATGTGGGTGCTGGGAGTCATATCTGGGTCCCCTGGAAGTGCAGCCAGTGCTCTTAATCACTGATCCATCTCTCCAGCTACCACCACCACCACCACCACCAGCCGTATTTCTTGTCATTCAGGCAATAGTAGGATTGAGATGTTTTTTTTTTTTTTTTTTTTTTTTTTTTTTTTTGGTTTTTCGAGACAGGATTTCTCTGTGGTTTTGGAGCCTGTCCTGGAACTAGCTATTGTAGACCAGGCTGGTGAGATGTTTCTTCACAAGCCTCACCGCCCTCATGTAACAGAGCTGCCTCTATCTCTATCTTACTCTAAGACAGCTTCACAATGTAGGCCCCCACCTGCCCTTTGAAGTTACTTGAAATGCCAGTTTGTAGACTTCGAGCAACAAAGCCCCTCCCACCTCTGAGGCTCTGGGAGTCTATGCCTTAGAGAAGCGGATTCTGAACTGTGAATGGAAACAGTGAGTACCCTGCATTGGGATGAGAGACCCATGAGCCTTCAGTCCAGGATCCTAGATGGGGGACTGTGGCAGGGTGCCAGTGCCGGGCATCTGCCAGGCTTCGGGAGAACTCAAAACAACCTCCTTGTGCATCCTGTTTCTCTGGAGCTGCTGCCAGCAAGTGGGCACCGTGCCCAAGCTTCAGTGGGCAGTGAGGGGGCTAGGTGCCCATCTGCCCTGTTGCCTAAACCAGTGGCCAGGGAAGATGGTGCCTAAGCTCAGACTGCCCTCTGCTGGGGAGTTGTAAAATGAGGCGCAGATGGAGCCCTTCTGCTTTCCTGCCACCTCCCAAGGAAGACTTGGACCTCTCCTTGTAGTTGGTATCCATGGTGGGGCCTCAGATCCAGGCCCACAGGCTGCATGACAGGATGCTGAGTCAGAGTCTCCCCCAAGCCCGCCTCAGGTGTCACATCATTAGTCAACAGTTGATTTTTTTTTAATTAGGCCTGTTTTTCTTCTCACTTTCTACGCTGGTTAGCTTGAACTTGACCATTGCTTTAGTTGTTTGGCAATAGGGAAACCCAGTTGAGAAAAATGCCTCCGTCCAGGTTGATGTGAACGGGGGGGGGGGGGGGGGGGGGGGGNGGGGGGGGGGGGGGGGGGGGGGGGGGGGGGGGGGGGGGGGGGGGGGGGGGGGGGGGGGGGACGGTGCTACCCCTGGGTAGAAGGTCTTGAGCTGTATCAGAAGGTAGGATGAACAGGCATGAGAAGCAAGCCAGCGAGCAGCCATCCTCCGTGGCCTCTGCTTCAGTTCCTGTCTCTAGGCACCTGCCCTGATGTCCCTCAGTGATAGAGTGTGACCTGAGAGCTGTAAGAGAAAATTAACTGTTTCTCCCCGAGTTGATTTTGGTCATGCTGTTCATTACAGCAATAGAAATCCCAAGGCATGAACTTTCCTAATCAGTAGTGAGCGCAGTCGTTAATCTTCTTTGTCAGATTGCATAAATTTAGACTTACCATGGAATCACACACCCCTGGCTGTGTCTCTGAGGACGTCTCCAGAAAAGTTGAACTGGGTGGCTAAGAGCACTGACTGCTCTACCAGAGGTCTTGAGTTCAATTCCCAGCAACCCATGGTGGCTCACAGCCATCTATAATGAGATCTGGCATCCTCTTCTGGCGTGCGGGCACACATGGAAGGAATGCTGTACACATAATAAATAAATCTTTAAAAATTAAACAGAGAAAAGAAATAAAACAAGATGCATAAATCCCATAACATAAGAGACACATAAAACCCAAGACAACATAACTCCTCCAGAAATTACTATTCCTATAGCAATGGTATTTAGCAAGAATGAATTAGATGAGATCCCAGACAGAGAATTCAATGTTATAAGTATATTCAAAGAAATCAAAGAACGTAAACTTTTGCCTGAGAACACAAATAGCTGAATGAGATAAGGAAGTGATGTGGGATGGAAGAGAGATTCAACAGAGAAATAGAAACACTGAGAAAAATCCAACCTGAAATACTAGAAATAGAGAACACGTGAAATCCAATTTAAAAACTCTGGGGACGTCTCACCAGAAGAACCAATTAAGGAGAGAACAGAGTACTGGAGCCCTTCAGCATGGTAAATGAACTGGAACAATCAAATAAGGACAATGATAAGCTAATAAGAAGTGAGTGAGAATTCCAAGTCACCTTCAGTACCATGAAAAAAACAAGTCTACTGATGACCAGGGTAGCAGAAGGAAAAGAGCGTATTCCCAAAGGCATAAAAAACATTTTAAAAAGAGAATCATTACAGAAGCTGGAGAGAGGGAGAGGGAGAGGGAGAGAGAGAGAGAGAGAGAGAGAGAGAGAGATGGCTGGCTCTGTGGTTAACAGCATGTATTAATCTTGCAAAAGACCAGGGTTCGGGTCCCAGCACCCACATGAGGACTCAAAAGCATCTATAACTAATTCCAGGGAATCCAATGGCCTATTTTGAATTCTGTGGTCTTCTGCACACGTGATGTGGTACACACACATATATTACATAAATAAATAACTTTTAAAAAATAACAAAAATATCCTAGAGTTGGTAAAGGAGGTGCAATCCAAACATAGGGGCATTTGAGACGCCAAACAGAGAAGGCCAAAAAAGAATTACCATCTCATATTGTAATTTTAATTA